TTTATAAGTATGAAAGTTGGAGGCAAAAAGGGAACTTTCAGATTTGAGAAAAAGGAAAATTTTCAAGAAGCTTACAGTATGTGTCGACACGTATAAGTCATGTGTGGACACATGCTGACAAACATTGACACATGTGTCGACCTGTAATAGGTCATGTGTCGACACATGCAAATAGAAACTACAGACTCTAAAAATGCAGCACATGTGCCAACCTGAAACTCGAATGTGTCGACACATAAAGGTAATTTCTTCAGCATGTGTCAACCTGAAATGTTGTATGTGTCGACACATGCAAACAGAGCCTACAAGCTTTAATATTGCAGTACATGTGTCGACCTGAAGAGCATATGTGTTGACACATGCAAGTGTTTTTCATGTAAAAACAAAATTTTAATGCATGAACTCTTTTCCAAACTTATTCCAAATGAGTTCTAAGACCCCTAATGCAAGGGTGCACCTAATGATACAGAGATATCGTCCAATATAAAGAAATGCTAAAATTTTCCTAGTTTTGACATCATACAAAACATCTAATGGGCAAGTTGCACTCACATACTCCCCCTTTTTAATGATGGCAAACATGGGACGATGCATTTCATGTCTTCATTGAAGGCTCCCCCTGAATCTGTGCATCCAACTTTTTCTTCGCATATGCTTCTTCCTATTTGACAACATAACAAAGAGAAAAATCACACTATGAGAAGTATCATATTCACACAAATACGCATAAATCACACAGAGGCGTTTTTGCAAAGAAAGAACGTGCACTCAAAAATACCCATATAAATGGAGTGACGCAAAATTGAAATGCGTAAAATAAATAGCTAGACAAAATCAAGAAACATTATATAAAATATTAATTTAATAATCTCAGATTAAAATAAGCGCAATCCAATATTCCACTTCAAAGAAATGACAAAGATGTTCATAAACATAAGAAAAGCATGAATTAATCATAAAAGGACAAGACTCAAAAATAGAACAAATGCATGACATTAAATGCATGACACAACACAAAATATTCTAAACACCTAACAACATTAAACTTCAACATCCTCTATGGACTATATGCCTTCTATGTCCTCTTTGTTGTAATCCACTGCCATAGTCCAATGAATCACGCATCTCATGAATAAACTGTATGGTCTCTTCATGGTTCTGAACACCTTGGCTCATCATACGGTTGACTCTGGACTGCATAGTTGCATTAGTAGAGCTCATTTCACTTTGGACAACAGTAAGTTGCCCAGTGGCAATTGAGGTAAATGCCTTAAAGTTTATGACCTAAGTAGTCAAGTGCTCTTGAACCAGCCTAAAGCGTTCATCTTGAGCAGCCTCAAAATCAGCTCTCCAACATAACTCTTCCTCATGTCGCTCATCTTGCCTCAACAACATGTTTTAAAGCATAGCGATAACAGTATAATCATTTCCAAATGTGCCAAAATCATTACTTCTCGAACCAGACCCATAATCTTGAGAACCAGCATCATACTCCCTGTAACCATATCCTTGTTAAGTCCAAGCATTTTGTGGCCATTGGCCCCAACCTTGATTTTCATCTTGATGTTGGTTAGCAGCAACATTCAACCAAGCATCATCTTCTTCATAATAAGCATCCTCCATCTGAGCATCAATTTGAGGAATGTCACCAATTGATTCCTCGTCAATCATGCAAGCATTGGCATTCTCTTCAAACTCAAATGGATCATCAAAGTTGTAAATATGTTTGTGAGATTCCTTAGTTTGAAGGAAGTACACTTTTAATTTGGTATCCCAAAAATACCTCATATTGATTATGGCACGTTTGGAGAATTCTTGAGCAGGACCTGGTGAAATATATTGAAGCTTTGGAACTCCAATGTTGAAGTAGTTAAGAATTTCAGCGATCATTGACACATAACAAAAAAAGGTTCCCTTGTTACATTTTCTGATTGTGAACATACGTGAGACAAAGTAGTTTGGCCAATTGATTTTGATTTTGCGAAGAAGAGTATAAACGAGGTGTACCTTCACTTGATAAATCCTTGAATGCCCACCATTCTTAGGGCGTATGACATAAGACACAATCCAGTGCAAGATGCGCGGGATTTGCTTCAATTGACTGGTTGTCACGACATCAAAATTGTCGTCAGCTCGAGGAGCCTTTAAAAATTCATTCAAATGTACTCTCCAAAGAAAATCTTAATGAGAGTTTGTATCAGTAACCAAGGGCTCAACATCAGCACCTACTATAGTAATACCAAACAGATATTTCCATAAATCATTGGTAAAATGATAATTTGTACCTCCCATACGAAATTTAAATCTGTCTCCTCTATGTTTATGCAGTCCGGCATAAAACACACGGATTAAATCTTCATTGTAGTCTTGAAAAAGCTGTAAAAAGTAGTTGATTTCTTGGTGCTCCATATGACTCACAAATTCTGGAAGGTGAAGCTCTTCGACAACCATAAATATCTCCATTAAATCACATTAAATATCCACTACATTGCATTTAACTAAGTTCTTGACCTTCCTATCATTAACTTTCCACTCAAATCCCTCTACTATAAATCTCTTTAGTCCCATTCTTATTCAAAATATACACATCTTCACATTGAAAATTTATGCATATTTGTGGCATAAGCCGCTGAATTGGTGTGTTGTTGCATTCATATCTCATATTTAGGGATCGTGGGAAATCACATACTTCTCAAGATCCAAGCTACTTTAATCACACATTCTGTCAAACACTTGAAACGCGTTCTCTTTTCTGTAAAATTCAGCCATGCCTCCAAAGAAGAATGTAAATAATTGTGATGCTAAGGGTAAGAAACAGGTGGAATCATCTTCAAACACTGTTGAAACTCTGTTTTCTCTAATTGATGCTAAGACGATCGTCGTCTTTGAAGAAAAGTGCCAAGAGAGACTTGTTGTGAAGCAACATGTCTTCAAGACCAGTGTGGCAGATGAGATGCATCTGAATGAAGTTGCGAGGAGTGTTGATCATCAAGGTATCAACTATTTCCTTTCGCTCTCACAATAATATAATTAAGATCTCATTTGCTTGTTTTATGTTGGGTTGCACCACCACCGAGATACTGAATTTAGATTTCGAATCGGTGATAAAGATAACCAGTTCACAAAGGCATTGTGGAAGTCCTTAGTTGGCATTACAATGGCTGATGATGAGCATAGGGTATCTGGCACGAAAGCTTACAAATACTTTTTATGGCGTCCTCATAGAAATCAACTTTTGAGAGCTCCTCGGGCAGATGATGACTACTGGGAAATAACAACCAGCCACCTAAAGAAATTGCCTCGTATTCTACATTGGACTGGGTCTTGTATCCGGGTCCAAAGAATGGGGGATACTCAAGAATTGACTCACCTGAAGTCCATCTGGTATATCTTTTTCTCAATAGGATCAAAATCAGATGGTCCTACTAATGAGTATTAAATTGTTGTGAATTTGAGTGCGAATAATTAGTACTCATCGGCTTAATTCATTTTCTTTTTGTCAATAAACCTCAACTTTAGTATATATTCGGTATAGTTTATGTTATAGTGTATATATTATATTACCATGTAAATATCATTGAGTTTAATTGATTTTATATATTTTATGTAGGTATTCAAGCATTGATATTTAGGCATTTTTAGATAGATCATTGAATAAGTTTTTCAACGCTTCCGACTATGCGCAAATCGGAATTACGGTTCTCAAGTTATGGCCGAAACAGTGTTGATTTTTTCAAGTTACTTTCAGACAGCGCCCCGAGAGCGCTGAGCGGTGCAAATGCGCTCCGGAAACGTGAAATGCACTAAAAGTGTTGTTTTGAGCGCCGAGCGGTTACATTTGAGCGTCGGGCGGTGCAGGCTGGACAGAAATGCATATTTAGGTCAAAAATACATTTTTTTAGGTTATGGTTGGGTATTTTTGGTCCCAATTCATCAAACCTTCATTATTTGATTATGAGAGCTTAGAAACAACATTTGAAGGTTATAACTGGATGATCCAAAATCGAATCTCTTGTCGATTGGTATCGACAAACCAATAAATGTTTGGTTCCTTTTCTTCTCTTCTCTTTGTAATCTCTATTTGTTGGAGTTTGTATGTATATTTACCTTGATTATATGTATGTTTATTGCTCATGGTGTTGTATGAAACTCATTTTATAAATAAATGTTGATGATTGCTTTCTTTATTTGGGTTTGGTTTGTTGCAGAGATGGAAAGTTCAAATCCGGATTTAGGAAGAACATCTATTGGATTTTAATTCTAGAGAGAGATTAAGACTTAGTATTCATATGGGTATCGATTCTTAATGTCTTTGTGTTGTTTTGTGTTGTGTTGAGAGATTGCCGACGCGAGCAATACGGTTGTTATCTTACTCCGTGTCAGAAATTACCTATGTGTGAGTGATAGGTGATGATGTTGACGAGTAGTTTAAGTTGCATACAATTGAGTGATAGATTTAAGTATTTGATAGGGTAGATAAAATGCAAACTCGAGAGTTCTCTACTATTCAAAAAATGAAATTCTTTTTCTGTTAATAACTTTAATTCCCACATTTACCTTTTATACAAATCAACCCAATTCAACCACAAACTCATAAATGCAAGAAATTATCGAACGTCAATTCAGTAACACTAATCCATGTGGAGACGATATGATAAAACTAAATACTTACTTACTTTTGCTTTTCACTTTACCGCTTCAGCACCTACTACTTTATTTCTAATATCTTCAATGTGAGAGAAGAATCCAAAGGATACTCTCTACGTTGTCTATCCATGATTGCAAAAACACTCAACAACTTCAACATTGGAATACCTAATATTCAATACAGGTTTCCTTCTATTGCGTAAGAGTTCACTCAGCATAGTCTAACAATGATAGGGTATATTTGGGATGGAGAAAGAGAGGTGTATTACTTCCTTTAAAGTAAAAATGGTAAGCCAATTTATAACTTTGATGATCCTGATGCTTTTGAAGAAAATGTTCAAGAGGATGTAAACATGGATGATGTTAAACAAGATTCGGCTTGGATGCCTGCTGATGTAAATCAAGGATGGAAACCATGGCCACAACAAAATTCTGGCCACAACCAAGGCTATGGTACGGGGTTACAAGGAAATGATTATGCTGTTTTGGAAATGCTTAAAAGGATGGAAATCAAACAGGATAAAAGGTATGAAGAACAAATGACTTGGCAATCAAACTTCCAGGAAATTCAAAATGAATGGTACAGGACGATACATGAACATTTGGCCACTCAAGATGCCAACTTTAAGTTCTTTGGATCCCATGATAATGCGCATTTTTCGTCTATTCGAAATGATATTCGTGATAACAATGTGGCTATTCAATCTAGAATTAACGGTATGATGACTCAGGGAGTTGAGAATCGCGAAGATAATTTGCAATTCTACGAGGACATGTGCAACTTGATGGGTTGTGTCATGGTGGAAGACCATTTCAAGGGAATTATTGGTTCATTGATATTTGAAGTCTCTTGTATTTGGAATAGATGGGTTTAGTGTTCCTAAGTTCGTGCATTTTGGTGTGATCATTTTGCATTTTGAATCGCATGTTTATTTTCGTTTATGTTTTGGTTTTATGTTAAGACAATCTCACTTCCTTTATGTAATTATGTTGTTTTTTATTTATCTTTGCCTTCAATGGAAATTAATATTAATATGATTTTGTTACCATATTATTTCTCTTGTTTGGAATGTTGTTTGGTTATTAGTTTTGTGTATTGTCATGTGTATGGGAACATGTATATTTGCGCTATTACTTTTGTAAAACGCCTCTGTATGATATATCAGTATTTGTGTGAATTTTGATACTTCTCATCGTGTGTTTTTTCTCTTTTTTATGTTGTCAAAGGGGGAGAAGTATAAGGAAAGAAGATGGATGCACATATTCAGGGGGGAGCTGTCATTGAAGACACGAAAAGCATCATCAAAAGACTTGAGTTTTGCCATCACCAAAAAGGGTGACTATGTGGATGCATTTATCTTATAAATGGTTTTCATGATTTCAAAACTAAATTGATTTAGATTTTATGTACTTTGAACGGTATCTCTGATTATTTGTGTGCACCCTTGTATTGGAAGTCATTAGAAACCTTAAGAATCATATAAAACAAGTTTGGTTTGGTTATCCATTTGTCTCATAAGTGAAAAATCAGTTTTTGCACAAAATTCATGTGCATGTTTCGACACATACGAGTTTCATTTCGACACATGTGTTATTGTTTTAAAGCATATAAGCCTCTGTAAGTACGTGTCGACTCATCCCTTTGTTCGTGTCACACATGCCTCTAAAATACTATATGTGTCGACACATACGAGCTTTGTGTCGACTCATGTGCTATTATTTTAAAACCTGTAAATCTCTAGAAGTATGTGTCAACTCATGACCTGCTACAGGTTGACACATGTGTCAATTTCTGTCATGCATATGTCGACACATAACTTACATGTGTCAACATATCCTGTACCAAACTTCCAAAATCAGTTTTCTTTTGTGTTTCTAGGTCTTTCTTTTTCCTCCAAGTGCCACACCTATATATATATATATATATATATATATATATATATATATATATATATATATATATATATATATATATATATATATATATATATATATATATATATATATATATATATATATATATATATATATATATATATATATATATATATATATATATATATATATGCATCATTTTCATTTTGATGAAACTATAAACACTTATTGGATTTCTCTTCATCTTCGACCTTGACCCTATGCATACACAGAAACAATGTAAACATGATTATTCATTGTTTGGGTGCCATCTAGACTTTGTTGATACGTTAAATTTAGGTTGGTTGTAACCTAAGATTGGGTTGAGAATCAATGGGGTTTCATCTGGAAAAATTGCGAGAATTTTTACCTCAACATCATGTGGAGATTTTAGGGTTTTTAACAAGATTGTGCCATTGTTGATTCGATCGAGTGAAGACCTTGAAGAACGGGGTGATTCTTTCAAGCCTAGTAGCGTGAGACGATGAATCATCGGGTAATCTTGGGTGACAATAAACTTGCAATTGGATTCATTCGAGTGAACATTGAAGACAACTTTCCTTCAAATTAGTAGCACGGGACGGTGGATCATTTGGAGTTGTTGGGGTCTTGATTTAACTCCATAAAGCCAAAGAGAATTTTGTTGTATCATCATCAACCATAGGTGTTGTGATACGGTGGGAGAACTGACTTGGGTGTTTTGCATTTTATCGCAAATGTTGCGGTTAGCAAGAGTCACCACCGACTTTTCTTTTATCCAAAAAGGAAAGGCTGAAAAGAACAAGAAAGACCTTTGAGACTATTTCTTGAGTTCGGGGGGTAGATTATGAAAAGGGAATGTGTTAGCACCCTTTTCATCCATGGTTATCTATGGGCTCTTAGTTGCTTACTAGATCACTTGCTTTTGTTAGAAAAATGTGTTTTGTGTGGTTTTTGAAAGTATTTTGAAAAGGCGTCTTCGTTTAGGAAAACTTTGTAATAGTTCTCATTCGTAAGAACGTATAAAAAGTGTTGAGCTTTTTGAAAATATTTCATGTTTGGAAAATGTTTTAAAAGTGTTTTTGAAAATAAGCAAGGATGTTTGATTTGAAGATGAACAAGCAACTAGGAACAATCTACCTACTCAAAAGTCTTTGTTCATTTCTTCATTTCCTTTGATATTTCTATCTTACCATTGATTGGTAAGAAGCCTTATTTTTGGATGTAAAGGGACGGGCGTGGATCATTGTATAGCCATGATAGCAATGTAGTGAGATATCTTAGCATTTCTCTTTGAGGGACTAAGATCATTTTGAAAGGTAACATTGATAGCGTCATCGAGAGACTATGATCTTGTATTTTTTATTGCTTTTTGCTAAGATATCCCACATGCATAACATGGCCATTTTTGTAAGGCAACAAAGTAGAATTACCCTAAGAGTGTAAGTGTGCAAGTGTGTTTGATTTACATGCATTGCTTATTGTGATACGGTGGGAAGAACTGACTGTTTTTTGGAATGCTGGTTTGTGTTTTGCGTTTGTATTCGCAAAATGTCGCGGTAAGCAAGAGTCGCCACCGACTTTTATTTTATCCAACAAAGAAAGGAAAAAAGCACAGAAATATTCCTTTTTTGAGATTTTCTGAGTACGGGGGGTAGATTATAGAAAGGGAATGTATTAGCACCCTTTCTATCTGTGGTTATCCACGGGCTCTTAGGTACTTGCTCAATTTTTTTCAAAATTGTTTTCTTTGTGCTTGTGGGTTTGAAAAAGTTTTTGTTTTAACTTCGATTTAACTCTTGCTTCTATCCTCAAGAGTGTAATGAAGTGTTTTTGAAAACTTTGTTTGAAAAGGAGTGTAAGTGTGAAAAATTTGTTTTGTTTTTTGAAAGAGCAAGTATCTAAGAACTATCTACCTACTCGAAAAAGGAATTGTTCTATGCTATTTTCCTTTAGACAATGCTATCCTACTAGTGATGAGTAGGTAGCACCGTCGTTGGAGTTTGAGGGTCAATTCGAATGCGGGACTTACGGTCACTAAAGCAATGTTAGGACGCTTTAGCAGTAACCATAATATCTTAGATCATTTGTTTGAGACAACAACATCCGAGGCAACCATTTCGAGGCGACTATGATCTTTAGACAAGAGGGTGGCCTTTAAAACTACCTATACTCAATGACCGCGTACGAAGGCAACCAAGTGGGGTGTACCCTAAGAGTGCGCATGTGCGAGTGTGTAGTTTTCAGATATTTTATCTTTTGTACATGTTAAGGGTGATCTAAGTTTATTTTAGGTTAAAACATTCAGTCTTGTCATGCAAACCTATTATCAAACATCTAACAATTATGATTTGCGGAAATAAAATGCGGAATTTAAATTACAAGGCGTCGGGTATTTACATCGCCAAAGACAAACCCTTTTGAAAAATAAAATAAAGCAATAAAAATAATTAAAAGTCCTATTAACTATTACAATCCGGAAGCAAGTACATTATTGGATAAAAGAAAATAAATCGCGGCTCAAAATTTAATCGGACGCATGATTACGGTTTTGACCCTTTTGATTAAAGAAAATGTCTTTTTTGTTGTTTTTTTATTTAGAAAGAAATAAATCCTAAATTAATTACTAAATTAATTTATTAAACTAATTAAATGACAAATACATTATTTTTGGAGTTTTTTTTATTATTTTAAGAAAGAAAAGAAAATTAATTGAATTAGTAATTAAAACCTAATTAAATCTAGTTAATTTTAATTATTTGCAAAATAGGTTAAAATTATTCTAGAATTAAAACCTAAATTAATTAATTAGTGTTTATTAAGAAAAATAAAAGTTTAAAGTTTAATTAAATATAAAAAATATTTTTGTGATTTTTATTTTGTGAGAAAAAGAATTTTGATTGGTTAGAAATTAAATAAATAATAATAAAACAAATAATAAAACAAAATAAGAAAAGAAAAGAGGAGTATTGGGCCTGAATCATGGGGGTGCTGGTAGCAATTGGAAGCTTGTTTGACTTTTTGGAATTCAATGTGCATGCTTGGACTTTGTTTATGGTGGACCTTCAGCTTTGGACCTTCAGATTTGGCCTTTGGCCATCTGGCAATTAGATGACTGATGGCGCATGGTATACTGCACGCTTGAGCAAACACATGATTATCTGAAAAAAAAAGAGAAAATACAAAGCGCTGGAGGCAGGGATCGAACCCCTGACCTCCAGCCACTAACGCCTTGGAATTGGACTTGCTGACCACTAGGACACGCTGTTTCAATTGTTATATTGATATAAATGATATATATTATATAAAAAACAAAGTTATTGCCAGAAACTTAATAAAAACGCACGCTTGGTTTGAATGGCCCAATGATGGGGCGCCACGCATCATCTTCAACCTCATGTTTGTGGCTAAAAGATCTCAAACCTATACCAACGGACAGAAGTCCGTAGCTATAAGCCAGTCCACCTCCAAAATTTGCTACGAGCCACAAAAATGCATTTCAAGGGCATGGTCATGCTCGTTTCAACCTCCCGGTCCTAACCATACCCTTCTTGATGGTCAATTGTTCCTGAAAAGAAAACCCCCAAAAATATCCAAGAAAACCTAGCTATGGCGAATTGCAGTACAGGTTATATAACGAAATTAAATGATGCAAATAGCTTGGAAATGTTGTGAGGATTACAAATATGTAGTTAATTTTTGTTATAGATGCAAGAATATATCAAACCGAATTCAAGAACAGGGGTATGTTTCGTGACACTTACAGCGCTTGTGAAGGTCTGAGAACGCTTGCTTTTAATTCAAGAATGTCATCCCCTTCCCTCGTAACCCACCGATCAGGAAAGAAGCCATCGACAAACTTGTTCAGGACGCCATAAGTTTCCTCGTCCTCAACACTCATATCCCTAGCCGGAGTGTGATAGTATCCAAGACCATGGTCGTAATGGCCCGAACACCAGTGAATAGGAAACCTAGAGACTCA